ACTTTTTAAACCCTTTTAAACCCTTTTAAAACCCTTTTACTAAACCCTTTTAAAACCCTTTTAAACCCTTTTAAAACCCTTTTACTAAACCCTTTTAAAACCCTTTTTAAAACCCTTTTATAAACCCTTTTGTGTCTGTTTTAAAACCCTTTTTAAAACCCTTTTAAACCCTTTTTTTCTCCTTCAAAACCCTTTTTATCTTTTTCAGTTCTTTTATTTCTTTTAATTTCTTTTAATTTCTTTTTATTTCTTTTAATTTCTTTTTATTTCTTTTTATTTCCTTTTATTTCTTCATTTATCTCTTTTTGATTTTCTTTTATTTCTTTTATCTTCTTTAATCTTCTTTAATCTTTTTAATTTAATTTAATTTAATTTAATTTTTCATTTTTTGATTTTTGATTTTATTAAATTTTTTTTAATTTTCTTTTTCGTCCTTTTCGTTTCTTTCTTTTCCTCTAAACTCCTTCAACTCTTCTTAAACCTCCTTTTAATTTAATTCATTCAAATCAAATCTAATTAATTAAATTAATTTAATTTAATTAATTTAATTGAATTAATTTAATTTAATTAATTTAATTAATTTAATTAATTTTATTTTATTTTATTTTATTTTGTTTTATTTTATTTTTTAGATGCTGACTGGCCGCCGCCACTTAATGCACCGCCTGCGACAGTCTGGAGGCCTTTCGGGTTTTTTGTCTCGAAAGGAATCCATATATGATTGTTTTGGCGCCGGTAAACCCTAAACCCTAAACCCTAAACCCTAAACCCTAAACCCCAGGCGCTAAACCCTAGGCGCTAAACCCTAGGGCCGAGGCCCGAGGGGCTCTTCGAAAGCGCCGCAGCTTGATGTGCTTGGCGGCGAGCTCCGCTGCAGTCTAGGGTTTAGGGTTTAGGGTTTAGGGTTTAGGGTTTGGTGCTTCAGGCCACTCCTCCACCTCCATCAGCGCCATCCAAGGAATCTATGTGGCAAATCGCATGCAGCAGAGACACGAGGGTTTGCACGTGGCGGTCATCGGTGCGCCAACTCTAGGGTTTAGGGTTTAGGGTTTTAGAGTTTAGGGTTTAGGGTTTAGGGTTTTAGAGTTTAGGGTTTAGGGTTTAGGGTTTTGGGTGAGCCGTGTGGCTGAGCTGTGGGCAGCGAGCCCACTGCTTTGCAGCAGCGCCGCTCACCCCGGCCGCCCACAGTGCAGGGCCTCGGGCCTAGGGTTTAGGGTTTAGGGTTTAGGGTTTAGGGTTTAGGGTTTGTCTTCAGGAGACGGAGGCCTCACTGGGGGCATGGCCTACGAGGCCCTAAACGCCTGCGGGTTTTTGCAGTCTCCCATTTTGGTAATTTTGAATGACAACCAGCAAGTGTCTTTGCCCACGGGTACAAACTCAGCAGGTACAAACCCTAAACCCTAAACCCTAAACCCTAAACCCTAAGCCCTGGCCCCGTGAGGGGTGGGGTCCCGCGGGCGCGGCGTCGTTTCAGTTGCTGCAGTAAACTGCTGCTGGCAGCAGACTGACAGACTGTGGCTTTTCTGGTGAGCCACTGAGGGTTTAGGGTTTAGGGTTTAGGGTTTAGGGTTTAGGGTTTAGGGTTTAGGGTTTGTGGCTCAGGTGGCACTGCGCCTGCCAGCGCCGTGTCTCGACACATGCGCCGTTTGCTGCAGCGGCGCAGCCTGCGGTGTCTGTCCCCCCAGCAGAAGCTGCAGCAGCTGCTGCAGCAGCTGCAGCAGCAGCAGCAGCAGCCGCAGCAGCAGCAGCAGCAGCAAGACGTCCCTGCTGTGCATGCCCCAGCTCAGGGAGAAGAGGGCGGAGCCTCCTTTTTCGAGGGTTTAGGGTTTGACTATTTGGGGCCTTTAGACGGCCACGACGTCCTGGGCCTAGTCTCGGTCTTGCAGGTTATCAAGGTCAGGGTTTAGGGTTTAGGGTTTAGGGTTTAGGGTTTAGGGTGCAGGCGACTTGTCTAGGGTTGCGGGGCTGCAAGCCCCCGTTGGGGGCTCTTTTGCCCTGATATTTCTGCCTGGTGAGGCTCAAGGCTTTCCAAAGGAGGCCAAGGGTTTAGGGTTTAGGGTTTAGGGTTTAGGGTTTAGGGTTTGCGTGCAGCGCGGGGGTTTGCGAAGGCCCACTGTGCTGCACCTCAAGACAGAGAAAGGGTTTGGCTACGCCCCAGCGCTCGCAGCCCCTGACCGCATGCACGGGGTGGAGGCGGCCCCACACTTGGCGCTGCATGCAGCCAGCAGCAGCAGCAGCAGCAGCAGCAGCAGCAGCAGCCGCAGCAGCAGCAGCGGGGGTTCCAGCGCCGCCGCTGCTGCTGCTGCTGCGGGCGGCGGCGCTGCCGTGGCAGCGACGGGCCAGCAGCCGCTGCTGCTGCCGCTGCCGCAGCAGCAGCAGCAGCAGCAGGCGCGCCGCGCTGCTGCAGCAGCAGCAGCAGCAGCAGCAGCAGCAGCAGCAGGGGCTGGCCGCAGCAAACTGCCGTCGCTAACCTCCGTTTTCTCCAAAGGACTCCTCGAGTTGGCCAAAAAAGATAAAAGTGTTTTCCCAATAACAGCAGCAATGCCGGGAGGCACTGGCTTGTCAGTGCTAGGTGTACATACACCTCAGCAGCTGTACGACGTGGGGATAGCGGAGCAGCACGCAGTCACTTTTGCTGCTGGCCTTGCAGCAGCACCAGCAGCAGCAGCAGCAGCAGCAGCAAAACCCTTTTGCTGCATCTACAGCACTTTCCTCCAAAGGGCCTACGACCAAGTCGTCCACGACGTCGCCCTCCAAAACCTCCCCGTCAGGTAAACCCTAAACCCTAAACCCTAAACCCTAAACCCTAGCTCTAGACCCGGGGTCCTCGGCAGCCACGCGTATTCTCTCAACACGGCACCCTGTCTCCCTAGACAGCGCTGCCTGCCCTCTCAGGCTTTAGGGTTTAGGGTTTAGGGTTTAGGGTTTAGGGTTTAGGGTTTAGGGTTTAGGGTTTGGGTTAATGAGCCCTTCGGATTTTGCGGAGCTTTGTGTCGTTGGGCTGCCTGGGGCGCGACGCGCCGGCGGCGCCTGCCGTCCAACAAGGGCCTAGGGTTTAGGGTTTAGGGTTTAGGGTTTAGGGTTTAGGGTTTAGGGTTTAGGGTTTGTGGCAGGCTAATAGTGGACCGCGCGGGCCTCGT